TTTGATTTCTTTGTATGTATGGATCACTTGGGTTGGTACCGACAACTGGTGGAAATTTCATGTCATCAGCACCTCTAGTAATATATTTACTGAGAAAAATGTTGACGTGCTCAATACTTATTTTACCCGCTGTGTACAGTCATCTATGGAGAATAATCAGTGCCAATCACGGTCATACACTAATGGGACACACATCAGAGGCATTGGGGCTGAAGTGTCTTGCCCAAGGACACAACTGAGACAGCTGGAACGGGGGATCGAACGGGCAACCTACTGGTTCCAGGACGACTCCACTAACCACTCTGTCAAAGTAGATGAGGGTAGGAACATAGACTGACCAATAAATTCAGAGCTTCGCCTTCTGGCTCAGCTCTCACTTCACCAAGACAGAACGGTACAGTGCCCGCGTCACTGCAGACGCAGCACCAGTCCATCAAACAATCTTTCGCTCCATTCTTCTCTTGTTCGTCAACAAGACCAAGAGATAATTAAACTCCTCCACTTGGGGCAGAACCTCTTCCCCAACCCGGAGAAGACACCCTACCCTTTTCCGGCTCAAGATCATGGTTTTGGAATTGGAGCAGCTGATCCTCATATCAGCTGCTTCACACTCGGCTGCGAACCGCTCCAGTGATAGCTGGAGACCAGGATCTGTTGAAGCCAATAGGACCACATCATCTACAAAAAGCAGAGATGCCATCCTGAGATCACCAAAACAGATCCCCTCAACACCTTGGCTGCACCTAGAAATTCTCTCCATAAAAGTAAATATAAATGTTATTTTGGAAATTCTACCCACTCACTTTTACTCAATACTTTTACTTTTAAAACTTAAGTACAGTAAACGTCAGACACTTTTAGATGTTTACTCAAGTAATATCCTTAGAGGAAACCTACTTTTACCAGAGTAATTTTATGATGAGATACTTGTACTCAAGTATCCGTTTGAGGTACTTTATACTGTTATTTAATTTTTAAATTTGTTTATTTTGTTGCATTGAACTATTAATTTTAAATGAAAACTGATTTATAATTTATATTCATATTAAATCAAGTAGAATTATTTTTTTTATTTTGCCAGGGCTGATGGGAGTCACTGCCCACGGGCCACCACTTGAATAGTCCTGCCTCATGGTATCATTCCCACGTGTGTGGAGAAGCAGGCTGCCAGCTCATGGAACAGTTCAGAAGATTAAACGTCTTGCTCAAGGGCTCAGAGTGGAGCAAATGAGGGTGGAAGCAGGTTTGGGTATTTCACCACCGCTTTGATACATTGGTCAGGGGATGTGAACCAGCATCCTATCGATCACAGGCTCATCTTCTGCACCACTACTCTGATTTGTTTAAATTTTACAAATTTGTGTCAGAATGTTTACTAATGTTTATTAGGAGTGCTTTTAATTTGCAAAAACAACACTGCTCTGTTGGCAAGTAAATATAAAATCTTAGGGCATAGTAACTGATGAAAAACTACYGCACATAATTTTGTAAATAGCTTGTAAAATCTTATGAAAAGTTCCTAAAATCCATCCATCCATCCATTTTCTGTACACGCTTATTCCTTCCAGGGTCGCATGGGTCACTGGTGCCCATATCCCGCAGTCACAGTGTGAGGGGCGGGGTACACCCTGGACAGGTCGCAGGTCCATCACAGGGACACACATAGAGACAAACGAGACRAACAACCATTCACTCTCTCACTCACACAATTTAGACAAGTTAGAGTCATCAGTTAACCTAACAGTCATGTTTTTGGTCAGTGGGARGAAGCCGGAGTGCCCAGAGAGAACCCATGCATACACGGAGAGAAAATGCAAACTCTACCCAGAAAGGCCCCCGGGCCAGGATTTGAACTGGCAACCTTCTTGCTGAGAGGCATCAGCTCCACCAACTGATGTCCTCCAGAATTATGGATGCTCAGTTCAAGTTTGATGTCAAATTTTACATTTAGGCAATGTAGCAAAAGCACAACTGTAAACAAAATCAACTTGAAAAATGTTGGTCATAATATACCTTTTCTCACTTTACAGTTGGCAAGAATTTATATTCATAAAATGATTTTTWTCTCATTGTCTGGATTGTTTTATGATGTGGTTGCACGCAACAAATGTGCTAAAATGTATCAATACTCTCTTCAAAAAAGAAAAGTTATATCTTGGAAAGTCTCAGTATTTTAACATCAATATTAAGTATATTTTCCATTTTAACAATTACCAAATGCTTAGTGAGTCATTGCCATATTTGTAAGGTTTTAAATGGGTGGAGGGCACTTAAGAAACCTTATAAACAAGACAAAGATCACCAAACATTTGGTCATCAGTCAAACCTGACTTCAGTTGTGCAACATCCGGTCCAACCTCTCCTGTTTATCCAGATTCACATGCTGTTAGACAGACCAGCTTGTCTACATTAGTAAATCTGTGCAAAACACCTCATCTGTRGGACTATGTGGGACTCTTCACAAATTGGTCAAAACTTTGCTGACTGACCTGATAAAAACARGAAGTAAGAACAGTCATTATCATGAAACATATGGGCTGATGGTTCCTGGCACTCCCAGTCCAGATTTCAAATGTTACAACACCAGCCTACTCTGTAAGGTTGTTCTTGATTTTAGCCACATTTCTCCGTTCACAGATATGATTTATTGTGTTGCAAAAGATACACAGCTTTTGCCACTAGGTTTTACAAAAATGACTGATCAGAAACTCAGRAAAATGAGCAGTAGGCCTACTATTTAAAAAAAATAAAATAAAGAAAAAAATAAAATAAAAATAATAGCTACAAAAATATGAACTGCTTAAGTGACTTAATTGTCCTCCAGCCTAATKTGTATATTTTGCTTTTGATTTAACCACAGTATCTTTATGTTATTATTTTTATTTAAGTTCTTGTCAACATAGAGCTGCAGTATTTTTCCAGTATTKTAAGTTTTAAAGCTTGTTGTGTGTGTGTTCCTGTTCCTGTTGGGACACACAGACACTCTGCACGTCCCTGACCTTCTGAACGAAGTTAAAGTGAAACAGCTTCTCTGATAAGGAACCTTCTTAAACCGGACAGAGCGAGCTCCGCGTCTAGACCTGGACCTGSACCTGGACCTGGACCTGCACCTGCGCATCCACTTGTTGCGTTCATCACAAGCTCGCTGTATTTAAAGAGGCGGCAGCAACATGGCTCGCGGGCTTGTCAGGCGCGAGTCGGTGGAAACGGAGATGCACAAATCCGAGGACAAAGCGACAACTTTCGTTTTCACCAAGAAGAGGGGCTACGATGTTACCCGAACCCCCCACCTGAACAAGGTGGGTTCACACRGGACGTTGGTGTCAATTTTCAATGTTTGTTTTAGTGAACAGCGTTTTCAMAGGTGCGTTCAGGTACCGTCGGAAACAATGGGAAATTAAAACCTTTCATTTAGAAAAAAGTCTAAATAAACGAGAACATCCGGCGGCATTTTGTAACACTTTAGCTCTGTGTTTAGTCGACTTTCTGTGCGTGTTAAAGCCCAACAGTGACGAGTTAAAAACTTGATACAAACTTTTTTTTAAAGCTAACTACAATGCTAACAATAACTGCTACACATGTGAACTGAAGCTGTTTTTGTYGTGTTCACCCATTTATCTACTTTGGAACAAGAGTTTTTAATCTTTGTTTGGTCTTGTTTTTCTGTCTGAGCCAAAGAGCAACAAGTGAGTGTAACATTAGCCAGGATATCAGCTTTAGATGGTTATATTTAGATTTAGTGTCCAAACATTGCTGCTTCACTCAGATTGTGGGGGGCTTCTGTTTACATCCCAAATGCAGAGACATGAGTGTTGTAATGATTAAAATAAATGTGACACTATAACACACCATAACACAATTCAACAAACTATAATAGTAGCTTCTGTGTAAATACAAGTAGAATCAGTTTAAAAGTTACAGTGTCATCCAGAAAATAAAGGCGAGGAAGTTTATTGCAGATCATGAGAAACTGGGTGACCTTTCCTGTCAAAAGAGGGTCAGTGTTTGCATTCTGACTCCAGTGGTGGATCTTTTACAGTTGCCTCTGCCAGGTGCATCTGAAACAATGACGAGTCTGACTGCCTTTGAGCTTTCTAGTGTTTTTTGTTGTTGTTTCATGGGTGGGATGGGGCCCCAGAGGTCAAGCTGTGGCCACAGGCTCTCTGTCCATGGTGCTGGTTGACCCTTAAAACAGCTGGCATTGTGCAGATTTATCTCTGTGCCAAGTCAAACATCAAGTGCTGCTATTTTTAATCACTGCCCCCGGCTCACTTTAAACTTCTTGTACTAGTTTATTTTTAGCCTCAGAGATGTTTCTCAGTCTCTGTTTGGATTCCCAATTGAGCAATGTTAGGGATATAATATAATATAATAT